TGCACTCCCGCTCGTGCCTGGCGCCCAACTTCGCGTTTTTCGGTTGCTGCGTAATTGCGAGTTGATGTAATCGTTGCATTGAGCCGGATTAGTGTCGGTCAACGACCGATCTTGTAGTCCGACACCAGAGAAAAGTGCGGTCACAAATTTGGCGCCCAACGTGGGGCCCACGGAAAATTAAAGATCGTCCCTGTAGAGCGAAGAGCAAGGAAGCGTGCATATATTCTTGCGTGTGCTGTACTGCCTATTCTTTCTGCCATTGCAGCGAATTTATTATATGCTTGCTTGTATTTTGATTATGCTTTTTTTGTGTCTGTGTTAAAATTCGCTTTCTTTCAGCAGTGTATTGTGCGTGTCGCGAATATTAGATTTCGATAATCGCGAGGAACCTGAAACTTCGTGCAAAATTCTAAGAGTAAATTCGCGTGCATTAATTCGGGAGTGTGCTTGTCGTTTTCAACAGTAGCTTTCGCATTCCATTCGCGAAGTACGGCTGTCGGTCATTTCTGTTTAGTTGTTTTCGACGCAAACAAATAATTGTTTACGTTCGCGCTGTTGCCGGAATCTTTCTGTGTCCTTCGTGCTGCCGCTTAGCTGCGTGCCATTAGAGTTCGGTAATTTATTTCACGTGATGTTTTCGTGACGCGGTTAGTGTTTTGCGCGGTAATTCCGACCACGTGTGAGGAGTGACCTTGGGAAGGGGGGGAGAGTCCTCGGCGTGCGCGTGTACTGACGCGTGGTCGCGAGTCCCCTGAATTTTTTTTGTTTTTGCTTTTCTTTTCGGTTTCCGCCAACGACATCATGTCGGAAGGGCGATCGCGATTTAGCTGGATTTATAGGTTGCCGATAGATCAGGCGCGAGAGGAATTGACACTACGGGAGCTAAGTCTTGAGGGGGATTTACACGAGATGTGACACCGACTTTTGCGATACGAATTAGAGAGGCCGTCGGAACCGAGCGGAGCCGTCGGGAACGCGCCCTTGTTGCTGCCCCCGGCGGAGCTGGA